AAAAAGATGAAAAAGCAATTGAGGAAGACATTGATGTTGACCTCTGGTACATAAACACACATACATGTACACACACACACACACACACACACACACACACAGACCCCCACAAAAGAGTTCATAGTGAGATTATCTCTAAAAGCCGAAAGAGTGTGAGGACTGGAGAGACGGATCAGTGGTAACAGCACTGGCTGCTTTTCAGAGGACCTGGGTTTGGTTCTTGGCACCACATGGTGGCTCACAACTGCCTGTAACGTCAGTGCCAAGAAGATGCAAGGCCCTCTCTGGCCTCTGCGGACACTGCGTGCCTGTGGTGCACATACGTATTTGCAGACAAACACGCATTTTTTTAAAGTGTACATGTGATAAGCTGTAGGCCACTAGAACCTGGGGAGTTTTTACATCTTGCCGTCTAATCGTCTCGAGGGAAGGAGCAGGGCTAACGGAAAGGTTTCTGGTATCTTGCAGAAGATGGGCAGCGCCCTGAGTGGACATTTTATCCACGGTTTAGCAGCAATATCCACACCTACCACGTTGGAAAGCAGTGCTTCTTCAGTGGGGTCTTCCGGGGCAACAGGAGGTCTGTGGCAGAGCAGACGGTGGACAAGAGCCTTGGGAGGAAGAAATACGGTAACGTGCCTCATCCCATCAAGGACGAAACAAACACACAGCAAGCCCTTAGTTGTGGCTCTGTGGACTCTGTTTTCTCTGGCTGGGACAGCTCTGCAGGGTCACCCTGCTGCCCACAGTGCACACAGGAAGACAGAGAGCCCAGCTCACAGGTGACAACCTTCTGTGAAGGGCTCGGAATGCATGCTGAACTTCACTTTCATCTTTCTCTAGCTCTTATAAAATGCTAATGTGACATTTACGTCACCAAATGAGTCACTTCAGATCCTTACTAGTAGACGCCTCATTGAAGTCCGAGGACAATCACGTACATTTCTGTTAGATATCACCTGCCATGTACATTTGACGTAAGCCTTAGCATGTCACACACAATGTTATTTTTAATTTAATTAGAGGTAATGAAGGTAAAAATATTATACATACACCATAGCTAAGCCATGTATCACCTTGGATCATAGCCTGGTGAGTTCTTTGCTCCAACTCCCTCAGAATATACTTTTCAAAAGATCCTGAGAGGTTGCTGAGCACCAGAGGGCCATTTATGGCCCTTTCTTATAGGAATACCCACGTAGGAGGTGGCAGCCAGTGCCTAGGTGATGACTAAGATTCCTGCAGAAGCTATGCAAAGAGAAATAAGTACCAACTTCTCTTGTAAAACTCATGCAAAGGGCAAATGGATTTTCAGGTTGAGGCTTGGATTTACCTGGATAAAGGGCCATCCTGGGGAAGCCGCAAGCATGGCCCCTGATGTGGATCCTCCCAGGAATCCCATGCCTTGCCTACATCCTAAACTTCCTATTCAAGAGAAAATGTGGAGCCACAGAGACGGCTCAGTGGTGAAGAGCCCGGGATGCTCTTGCCGTGGCCCTGGTTCTATTCCCAGCACCACGTGGTGGCTCACAGCTGTCTGTCACTCCAGTTCTAGGGGACCTGATGCCCTCTTCTGGTCCCTGTGGCCACCAGGCACACAGGTAGTGCACAGACATACCTGCAGGCAAAACATTCGTACACATAAACTTAAAAGATTAATTTTTAAATTAATGGCTGCTGCACAAGCGTGAGGACCCGAGTTCAGATTCCCAGCACCCACACAAAAGCGAGGTGCAATGGTCATTTCCTGTAACCCCGGAACTGGGGAAGCTGAGACAGGAGGACCCGTGAGAGACTGAGTAAAAAAATAAGGTGGAGAGCAATTGAGGAAAACATCCAGCACTGATGTTTGGCATCCACGTGCGAGACCACACATGCATATTGTGCACACATGTGCACTCATGTGCACATATACAAACACGTACATGTACGTATACTACAAACCCAAATACATTTAGAAAGGGAAATGCATGACATTTAATTGAGATCCAGAATGTATACAGTTTACTTTTTCCTCACTCAAATATTTTACTGTTTTTGTTATTTAGAATTGAAGCTAGAGTGTTATACAGATGGACCACCATGATAAGCAGAACTTGATGAGTTTAGCAAATACCTAACGTGCAATACCTAGTGATAACCACTTTTCTGTTTTTAGTTTTAAAAATATAAATCATGGAATAACATGGTGCTCAGTTGGTAGAGTGCTTGCCCAGCATGGACCACGCCCTGGCTCTATTTCCTGCACTGCACACATCAGATGTGGTAGCACATGCCTGTAATCTCAGCAGTTGGGAGATGTCGTCATCAGGATTAGGCGTTAGAGGCGTCATCCTCAGCTACACAGTGAGTTCGAGGGCAGCCTGGGACACATGAAGCTCTGTCCCCAAACAAACAGAGTTCCACCCAGAACACCAGATTAGTGCATGGCTCAGTCTTCGTTAGAGAAACTTCTCGAAATGAAAGGAAATTAACACACAGACCCACAACTGGACAAGGCGCAGAGAGAGAGAGAGAGAGATTTGGGAGTGCTCAGGTCTGAATGGGGTGTCTGTATCATGCTCCCCATCTCAAGGCTCAGTGATACATGCAGAAGAGGCAGAAAAACTGTAAGAGCCAGAGGTGGTGGATGTCTCCAAAAGAAAGCATTTTCCTGACACTACAGGGCAGAAGCACATATGAACTTACAGAAGACTAGGCAGCATGCACATGACCTGCACAAGCTCAAGCCAGACAAGGACCCCAGCACGGAGGTGGGCATAATTCCCACCCTCGCCAAGAAGCTGCCTGAAACTGGTGTCTGGGAGAGGGGAAATCAGTTTTCTTTAATGGAGTGACAGTGGGCATAACAGCCACATGCCAGGGCAGGCCCCATGCTCAGGAGTGCTTAGCCAACACAAATTAGATTTCTCTCTCTCTCTCTCTCTCTCTCTCTCTCTCTCTCTCTCTCTCTCTGTGTGTGTGTGTGTGTTTAAGAGAAAGACATTACATGAAGTTGGGGAGAATCTAGAAGGAGTTGGGGGAGGGGAAAGAATATGATTAAAATATATTGTTTAAATTCTTAAGGAATAAATAAAAACATTGAAAAAAATCAAGGGGCCGGAGAGATGGCTCAATGGTTAGGAGCACTGGTTACTCTTTCAGAGGACCCGGGTTTGTCCCTCAGCACCCACATGGTGGCTCACAGCCATCTGTAACTCTAGTCCCAGAGGATCTGACTCTCTCATGGCCTCCGAGGGCATTGCACACACTGGTACATAGACAGACACGCAGGCAAAACACTCATAAACAGAAAATAATAAAATGTTAAAAGATCAAAATAAAAGCTACATGTCTTGCATGTCCAACAAAACCAACCAACGAATCAATCAATCAAACAAGCAAACAAACAAAAACCTACCAAGCAAGCAAATGTGTATAGTTGGTTTTTTTTTTCTTTTTTTCTTTTTTTTTTTTTTTTCTTTTTTTGTTTTTGACAGAGTTTCTCTGTGTGGCCCTGGCTGTCCTAGAACTCACTCTGGAGTGCTCAGATTAAAGGCATGACCACCACTATCTGGCTTGTGTGTAACGTTTTATAATCTATAATGATAGAATACTTTTTCTGTTCGTTTTAGGGTTTTTTGAGACAGGATTTCTCTGTGTAGCCCTGGCTGTCCTGGAACTCACTCTGTAGGCCAGGCTGGCCTCAAACTCACAGAGATTTGCCTGCCTCTGCTTCTGAGCTGGGCTTAAAAGCATTCGCCTGACTCCTTTGCATTTTTTTTTACGGTGCTGGGAATTGAACCTACATGCTACCTGCATGAGCTATATTCCCAGCCCTCTATGTTTTTTAAAAAAATTTTAAGTTATTATTTGAAAATTTCACACATGCACATGGTGTGTTTTGGCCATACCTTCACCCCACTCCCCACCTCCAATCCTCTTGGACCCCCATTATATCTTCTTCCCAACCTTTTTTTTAAAAAATTAAAAAAAAATTAGCTATTTTTTAACCTTCAACTGGGGCTGCCCATATGTGTGAGGTCATCCACGGGTGTGGGGAACCTGCCAGAGGCCATACTCTTTTTTTTTTAATTTTTTTAAATTTATTTTTATTATTTTTATTTATTTATTTTTGAGGCCATGCTCTTAAATAAAAGTGACTCTCCCTCTTCCTGCAGCTATCTGCTGCCAATAGGTCCTCAGCTCTAAGGCCTCAAGCTGCTCCGACTCATGTGAAATTTTAACTGGCTTGATCTTGTGCAGATGTTGCCAGCTGCTGTGAGTGCAGGAGCCACAGCCATACCACCTCCAGGGGACGGTATTTCACAACCTTCCTCCTACCCTCTGGCTCTGACCTTCTTTCCACTCCGGCTTCCCCAGCCCTCCATGTTTTACAATGGTCATGTCTGATAACCCAGTGCAGTGAACTCGACTTTCCTAAGGCAGGGTAACGAGAACTCCGTCTCTCAATAAGCACGAAGATACTTGACGTTCACTGTCTCGTTGCTTGCTCACAGCAAAAGGGCATTGGCTTCTGCCTTCCATGTGATGTTTTTAAACGTTTCCCACAGATATTGATGCCAGAAATGGAATCCCAAAGTTAACACCAGGGGATAATCCGTACATGCTCCCAGAGCAGAGTAAAGAGTTCTTCAAAGCGGGGGCAACTCTTCCGCCTGTCAACTTTTCACTGTGAGTGCTTGCTCGTTCCAGAGGAACTTTAGGGACTGTAAAGGGATCGAGTCTCTTCTGCTGTATGTAAATTATTGTTTCTATTTATTTATTTATGCATGTATTTTGGTGTGTGTGTTATAAGCAACTATTTGTGCAAGTGTGCACACTCACACATGTGTATGTGGCGGCCAGAGGACATTGAATATTTTCCTCTGCTGTCCCCACCTTATGCTTTTAGACTAGTCCTCTCTGACTGAACCCAAAGCTGGACATTTTGGCCAGGCCAGCTGGCCAGTGAGATCCTGGGATCTGCCTGCCTCTGCCCCCTAACACTGGGGTCACACGCACACACAGCTGTGCCTGGCTTTTATGTGGGGTCTGGGGATTTGAAACTCAGGTCCTGTTGCTTTTGTAGCAAGTCTCAGACCCACTGAACCATCTCCCTAGTCCTTGCATAGAAATTATTTTTGAAGGGGTGGATCGCATAAGATGTGATAGAGTGAAAAATTCGTTAAAAAGTTCTTATTTAGTTCATTTGTGCCTATACACACTGCGGAATTGACATGATAAGAGATACAAGAAGGACTGGGGATATAACTTATTGGTGGTGCAGACACAGTGGGGGAAGGAAGAGGAACAGTGTGGGGAGGGGGCAAGAGGGGGGATAGAGGGTTGAATATGAGCCAACTCCAATGATACACATGTATAGAAATGTCTTTTTTTTTCTTTTTCTTTCTTTTTTTTTTGGTTTTGGTTTTTCGAGACAGGGGTTCTCTGTGTAGCTTTGTGCCTTTCCTGGAACTCACTTTGGAGACCAGGCTGGCCTCGAACTCACAGAGATTTGCCTGCCTCTGCCTCCCAAGTGCTGGGATTAAAGGCATGCGCCACCATCGCCTGGCTAGAAATGTCTTTAGACCCATTATACTGTACTTTTAAAAGCTGATAGAACAAGAAAGAAGTAGTTGTTTATTGGTCTGATTTCTATTACCACATACTTGAAGGCTTCGGAGCTTTCCTATCCAGTCTGACTGTTAGTGACTAGTACACAGCATGACATTAAATGTGGAGGCAAACTTGGGAAAATACGATCAAAGAGAAGAGTCATCCAACTAAAAGGAAAACAGTAGTTATATTATATTGAAAATAGCTAGAAAACCAGTCACCCGGGAGTCAATGATCTTGATGAAACACAACAAAAAAATTAAACATTATTCCCTGTCCAGTTTTGAAGCCCACATGTGACAACTGATAACAGAAAGTAGGTATCATAGTTTGGGAATGATGATGTGTTGCTCTCCATGCTTAAAGTGGTCATTGCCATTTTATGGTTGTTTTTATTGTTCTCTTTCAGGGTTCCTTATGAGAAAAAATTCGATACATTTATCCCATTGGAGCCACTTCCACAAATTCCCAAGTGAGTTTTCTCACCAAGTTTCTATGATACTATCTCTGAGAAAATGACATCCTTTTCTCCCACCGAAGAGCCTGTAGAACGTCGAACCATGGGGACCCTGTGTGTCCCAGCAGCGGGGCAGTGCAGTATGTAAGGTGGACACAGAGGTCAAGTGTCCGTGGCATCTGGCAAGGAGAGGGGGACAAATTCTACACAGGACACTAGCTAACTGCCAGTTGCCACTGTGTGCTTGAGTATGCATGGGAGGGGAGTTAACATGGAGCAAAGGGGCTGATAACACCCCGTTTTCAGAGTATTATCACATTTGAGTGTTCTGGGAGAGAAAAGCACATGTTTAATGATTGTAACTGGGAACTCAGAGCTTCAAAACCAAAGAGAAACCCAATA